GGACGGCAGGCTATAGGCGGTCGGTACACCACCCAAATCGCCAAACTCTCCTCAGCCTCCAGCATCACACTGACACACTCTACGCCCGCGATCTCCACTGCCGGGAGTGCCCTGAAGGAGTAAGCCTCCCAAATGAATATAGCCACTCCTCCCCCCGCCCCCTAGTCCACGATTGGTGGAGGACCGAGAAACCAGGAGGGGCAAGCTGGGCAAGAACTACTATTTCCCCCTCCCTCACCCAGGTCTCGGTCATGCATGCCAGGTCAGTAATGAATATAGCCACTCCTCCCCCCGCCCCCTAGTCCACGATTGGTGGAGGACCGAGAAACCAGGAGGGGCAAGCTGGGCAAGAACTACTATTTCCCCCTCCCTCACCCAGGTCTCGGTCATGCATGCCAGGTCAGCCCGTTGTTCCATTACAAAATCCTGAAGGACTGTAGCTTTGTTGTTAATTGACCTGGCATTGCACAACACCAATGACGGAGGGGAGTTCTCCATCCTAGCCCCACTGCCAGCCACCCTTGGGATGGGCCTTAGGCTGGAAGGGTGCCGAGCCATTCCATTTCTCTGCATCCTTCCCTTAAAACCTCGCCTAGGCCCACTGCCATACTTCCCCCTCCCCAAGAGCATCGGAATCTGCTGACCAGGCATTTCCTGCACTGACTGATCTCCGCTGAGCTTCAGATCGTCAGTTGGATGAACAATAGTAAGATCACAAATTCACTTCCAAGCAATAGGCTAACCACTATGCACTCCTCTGCTATCAAATACAGTCAGTGCTACACAAAATACAATTTCCTAACCAAAAGGTCAAACAGAGAACCTAATTTCCCATACACCTAAAATTCCCTGAGCAATTCACCACACAGCCACACTCACACAACATTGCAGCACATATTCCTCCTCTTAGCAGACAAAACTCCATGCACTCACCCCCAATTTCTCCAGCACTCACACCACTATTGCTAACACAAAGTGAACTTCATCTGCATCTACAGTTATTCCAAGTGGGACGTCCTCTGTCTCTTCCCGCCCTCAGAAAAGTTCACAGTCCTTGCCACTTGTTGTGTCCGCTGACCGCCACCAGGGGCCAGCGAATACCCCAGAGCTTGACTCTGGAAGAACAATGGGGACTAGGCTCCTGGTCTCTCCACTGGGGGACCAATGGGACCGTGGCGGGAGATTTAAACCCACCAACGGAACCTAGGGGTGTGTCCCCAGGTGTGTATATAGTTGGCCAGCCGGCCGTTTGTCTTTGTTGTGTACCAGTAAAGCGTGCAGGGTATCATGCGTGCCTCAGCGGGTCTTCCATGCAGCTAACTCACTACACAATAGTGGCGACGAAGGTGGGATATGCCGCTAGGCCGCTGAGCAGCGACCGACACCATGCAGCTCCACAGCTGTCCGATGAGCGAGACCGCAGGAGAAGCCGACTGCACACTGCCAGCCCCGACATGCACAATGGCAACTGTGTCCGGACCAGGCCTGCTGCCACCCTTCGACACAGCTCGCCCGCAAGATTGGAGCGCATGGGTACGAGGCGTAAAGTCCGCGCTCGCCTTCTACAAGGTGACGGACGACACACAAAAAAGAGGTTTCCTCCTTGCCTCCTGCGGAACCGCTGTCGTGTCCCTAGCAGAACGCTTGCTGTCCCCGATGGACCTCGATGCCTGCTCCTTTGACCAGATCGTCAAGGCGGTGCAAGACCACTATGCTCCGAAGCCATCGGAGATGGCCTGCCGGCTGGCGTTCTACAACCAGAGCCAGCTCACCCGGCAGACAGTAGCGGATTTCCTCGCAGAGCTCCGCCACCTGGCCGCAGACTGTAAGTTCGGGGCAAACTTAGACGAGGCCCTCCGAGACCGCTTTGTCGTGGGACAAAGGGAGGAGAAGCTCAAGTGACGGATTACGGAAGCAGAGACCGTCACCCTCGCCTCTGCCCTATCCACCGCCATCGCCTGGGAGCGGTTGCACCCCGCCACGGCCATGCAGGTTGAGCCGGACGACCCTGAGGAGCAAGAGGTCCACCGGACATACACAAGCCCCAAGTGTCGCTCTCAAGTGGGTCCTTCCTACTTTTCATGGAGATATTTACTCCATGGAGAGAAGCACGAGAGGAAGTCATGCCAATTCCGCAATGCGATCTGCCGAAACTGCGAGTGGACAGGCCACATCGCTTGCGTGTGCCACTTTAAGACAAAGAAGGCACCACCACCGCGTCACAGAGCGGAAGCACACTGCAAGGACGACGCAGAGGCTGGGGACCTCTACCACCTCACACATACAGCTGCAAAGGTACTGCAACTCCCCGGCAAATCGCCTACCCCTAAAGTTTTAGCCACGGTAACAATAGAGGGGTCCCCATGCCATATGGAGATAGACTCTGGCTCCGCGGCCTCAATAATTTCTGAGGCCATGCTTAAATGCTTGTGCCCAAAGGGGGGACCCTGCTTGCGCCCAGCTCAGGTGATGCTCATGGACTTTCAGCGGAACCGGGTGCTGATTAAGGGGGTTGGGTCTTTCCGAGTGCAGTACGGGCAATTCAAGGGACGTCTGGACTTGATAGTGGTAGAGGGCGACCTGGTCAGCTTGCTGGGTCGTGCCTGGTTTGAGCCCCTGGTGATTCCAGCTGTGTACAAACCAGGATTTCCAAGGGATATGCCAGGAGTTTCCCACCGTTTTCGATGACTCTCTGGGCGGCTATACAGGCCCCCCGGTGTCCCTGCGCCTAGACCCAAAGGTGGCCCCCATCCGAATGCACGCCAGGACGGTTCCGTTGTCGGTCAAGCCTAAAATCGACGCGGAACTAGATCGCCTTGTAGCTCAAGGCGTCCTGGAACCGGTCTCCCACGAGGCGTTGGAGACCCCAATAGTCATAGTAGAAAAGCCGAATGGGGCAGTCCGCATCTGTGCGGACTATAAATGTACGCTGAACAAGGCGCTACAGGACCATGCATATCCAGTACCTGTGGTCAGCCACGTACTAGCTACTTTGGGAGGGGCAAAGATCTTTGGTAAATTGGATCTCGCCCAAGCTTACCAACAGTTGCTGGTAGACGAGGCGACTGCTGAGGCGCAAACCATTGTGACCCACTGGGGGGCATTCCGGGTCAAGCGACTGCAATTTGGGGTGAGCGTGGCAATTCGGGGTGATAAAAGGAAGTACTTCTTCACCCAAAAAATGATTAACACATGGAATTAACACAAAGAATGATTAACAACATGGCGGCTACAAGCATGGATGGCTTCAAGAGGGAATTGAATAAACATGGAGCAGAGGTCCATCAGTGACTATTAGCCACAAGGTATAGATAGGAACTCTTTGTCTGTGGCAACTGATGCTCTGTATTCTTGGTGCTGGGGGGAGGGCAACAGTGGGAGGGCTTCTAGCATCCTGGCCTCACTGGTGGACCTCCTGATGGCCCCTGGTATTTTTGGCCACTGTGTGACAGAGTGTTCGACTGGATTGGCCATTGGCCTTATCCAACATTGGCTTCTCTTATGTTCCTATGACTTTTACCTATTGCAATACCTCTCAGCACCCCAAATTTGTGATTCAGCGAAGGTTTCCAGGAGTTAGGGAAACTGTCCGATAGTTTGGGCTGCATTATTTAATTGGATTTATGAATAACTTGATCTTATGTTGCTTTTAATGAGCTGCAAATTTATGCAGTGTTTATGCTGCTGTTTGATTTTATTTTTCCTTTTCTAATCTATTCTATTTATTTTTACTTGGATGATTGGAATCTGCCTGGACTACTGGGTATATATCAATCAATCAATTTATTGCAACAGTCAATGACCAGAAGTGCAGTTTGATTAAAAAAATTTTTAAGTGATAAAAAGATAAAATAGCATAATAGAAAAACTATAAAATCCTGAATAACTATAAAATCATACTGCCCTATAGGATTTTCGATGGGTATATATGCTTTGATGAATTGATTGATTGAATTTGTGCTTGCAGAGAAATATTTATAGGAGAAAACCAAGGAGTCCGTCATTAGGGTTTCCTTCCCTTTGAGATTTTTGGTGTTTTAGTTAGTTTGTTTGTTTGCATCCACAGTCTCCTTTCTCATTGGTCTCCACTCCATTCTGTTTTGCAGTCTGACATCAGAGTCCTTGTCAAATTATTCCAAATTCATACACACACAAATAACAACCAACCCACATCCAAACCTGCTGGTGGGTCCTGGAGATCTCCTGGAATTACAGTTGATCTCTAGATAATGGTTAGCTCCCCTGGAGAAAACGGCTGGTTTGGAGAGTGGACTCTATGGCATTATGGTCTCTCCCCCCCTAAACCCTGTCCTCCCCAGGCTCCACTTCCAAATCGCCAGGAATTTCCAAGCCAGAAGCTGGCAACCCTATGAAATACCACAATCAAAATTGCACCAATTTTTAAGGTTGTATATGCCATTAAAGGTTTATTGATTGATTGATTGATTGATTGATTGAAAATTGCACCAATTAAGGAACTCACTACAAATGTTCTTATTTGCTCAATGTATTCTGACAACAGAAATGGAGTTTGCTTTACACAGAACTTTTGTTTTCTTAGCCAACATGTACACCTAACAGTTGCCTGGATGTCTACAGATTTTCCAACCTACCATTCTCCCATTCCTACTTTTCATGGAGATATTTACTCCTCTCCCTTACAGCTGTACCCTCAGCTCTCCAAACAACCTCCCGGCTTTACTTTAGTCCCCAGCACCACAGAGCCAAATTCACTCACTGGTAGAGCTTCAGAGAAGATTTCAGCTTCTGGTCCACCACAGCATCTGAGATGGCTGGCTGGATTTCCTTCTTCGGCCCCAGCACATAGGTCAAGACTTTCATCAGCCCAGGAGAAGCAGCTTCAGCCTCGCCATCCACCACACCTATCTGTGCTCGCCCTCCACGCTCATGATCACGGATATCCTTGGCTACATTCATCCCCTGTGATGAAGAGAAGAAGAAAAGATTGTTTTTATACCCTGCCCTTCACTACCCAAAGATGTCTCAGAGCAGCTTACAAACTCCTCTCCCTTCTCCTCCCCACAACAGACACCCTGTGAGCAATGTTCCCTCTAAGCTGTGGAGTCCTGTGAGCAAAAATTCTACTTTGTGAGCTGCTGGCATTAAAGTTGGGAGCAGGAGATTTGGCTGCTGCATAAATTAGTTCGCTCTGGAGCCCTGAGCTAAGACAAAAATATGTGAGCCAGAGGCTGAAAAACTGTGAGCTAGCTCACACTAACTCAGCTTAGAGGGAACACTGCCTGTGAGGTAGGTGGGGCTGAGAGAGCTCTGACAGAAACTCCTCTTTTTCAAGACCACTACTGACAGGACTATGGTTTGCCCAAGGTCATCCAGCCAGGTGCAAGTGGAGGAGTGGGGAATCAAACCTGGTTCTCCCAGATTAGAGTCCGCGCACGTAACCACTACACCAAACTGGTTGTGAGCGAGCGATTTGGCTACTGCATAAATTAGTTTGCTCTAGAGCCCTCCTTCCTGAGCTAAGACAGAAATCTGTGAGCTGGAGGCTAAAAAACTGTGAGCTAGCTCACACTAACTCAGCTTAGAGGGAACACTGCATGTGGAAAAATGACAACAACTGTTCCTACTATGCTGCAGAGGTCAGGGATTGTTGGTGGGTTCTCCTGAGACTCTTGGGCCTCGGTCACCACCAACAATGCTGTTGCCGGCCTTGACAGCTGGATGACTGCTCTATTTGGATGACAGATATTAGACTTCCAAAAGGAGACTTTGTCCCATTATAAAAAGTGGATATACGAAAACCCTTGTTTTCCTGATGTTGTACGCATTTTATGAACCACTTTGTACTCTGCCACTGCCTAACAGCTTTGACTTGGTAGGTGTGCTTAGCACTTCTGTAATGCATATGTTTCTGACATCATGAATGTATTCAGGTATTAACTTTGGTTCATTTGTGACTGTTGTTTGATTGCATGCTGGGAAGAAGGCTGAAATGCTGATACCCAGTTATGCTACCCATGACCTTGCTGGTTCTGGCCAGCTACAACTGCGCATGTTTCTAATGTGAGTTAACCTAGCTAGAATGAAGAACAGTAAGCACTCTGTAACCATATCAATTATATAGATACAACATGCAACTTCATAGCTTCCGAAAGAAAAGTGTATTGTTCTGTTAGGAAAAGAAGAACTCTGCCTGGGAACA